TTTCATAGTGGTTTCGTTGTAAAGCCTCTTGCAGGCAATGATTGATATCGCATTGAAGAACAGGAATCACAGTAATTGACGAGCCTTCTATTGGCTTATATCACTACCGAACTAAAGTAGACCTGCCATTAATTTGTCTTTCTTTTTTAACTCACTCATAAACAGAGAATATTTGATTCATGACTTAGAGCTTCCAGATGTGGGCCAGTCGCACTGTTTGGGCTTTTTACCAGCATTTTTAGTGCCGCTTATCGAAACCCCACCAAATGGAGATAAGGATTTTTCTCAAGATTTTTTGGTGCCGCTACCATGTACATCATTTCACCGACCATCTTCTCTATACTTGGTCTATCGACACAGCAGACCATTCAAAATGGCGACGCCGTCGTTAGCTGAGAAGCTGGACAAGATCAAGTCCCCTGGCCTCCAGAGCCAGCAGCGGGTAAGTTCCCCCAGCCAAAACGAATGATCCATGCATGTACTGACAGTTCCGGCGCCAGACCGTCGTTGTGCTCCAATCCATAGAGTCGACACTCAAAGACCAGAACAGTGCGCCAACTCCCACGGGCTACTTTGCTGCTCTTCTCGCTCTTCTCCAGCAGGCAAACTCGAGCGGAAACGTCAATGTCGAACTCGCCACGCCCGTTGTCTACCTCCTCGATGTCGTAACGCCGTTTGCCCCGCAGCCGCTCTTGCGATCCAAGTTCACCCAAATCCTCACACTTATTGCGCCCGTCCTCTTGATGCAAGAAGCAGAGCCAATTCTCCTCAGAACATCCATCGGCTGCTTGGAATCGCTGCTGCTTGCGCAAGATGCAGCCTCGTGGGAACTTGGCGTCACACAGATTGGCCCGAGACGGGCTGTCGCAGGACTGCTCAACCTCTCCTTGGACCCTCGCCCCAAGGTGCGCAAGCGATCGCAGGATGCTCTCAAGAAAGTTCTCCAGACTCCTCCTCCGAGTCCCTCGTTGGACCACCCGGCTGCCGATATGTGTGCCCAGACTGCCATGAAGAACCTGGAAGACCTGGCTGCCAAGGTCGCCCAGGCGCGCAAGGGCAAGAAGTCATCCGATACCACCAACGAACCTGCCTTGATCCATGCGCTCCAATTGGTCAAGACAGTGGCCGCGGCCAGCGGCGGTTGGCCCAGTAAGAAGATTGAGTCTCTGTGCGAATTGCTCCTAGGCATCGCCAAGACTGGAAACGAATATATGACCATGGCTGCCTTTGACATCTTTGAGCTAATCTTTGAGGGCATGAGTGATGAGATCTCTTCTACCAAGCTGCCAAGGTTGATGGAAATTATTTCAGAATTGCGCCCTTCGGCCACTGATACCCAGCTTGTACCTCCTTGGCTCGCAATTCTGTCAAGAGGCTACGATGTCTCCGCTCAAGTCGAGCCAGAGGAGACGTTCCAAAACCTCCCCAACCTCTTCACAATGATTACCCAGTTCCTGCAATCACCTGCTGAAAACATCCGAATTTCCGCTTCAGAGTGCTTGGTTTCATTCATGGCAAACTGTGTGCCCTCGCAGGTGATCACCGAGCCATCTGTTTACGACGAAAAGATCCTTGAAAAAATTGCCAAGACGGCCGAGTCCCTACTCACTGTTCAGTATCAGGCGGCTTGGCTCCAGACCTTCACCGTTCTTGGTGCCATGTTCGATGCCCTGCGCTGGAGAGCCCACCCCATCTTGTTGGGAGTTGCTAAGACTGTAGGTGAAATCCGCGAGAGTTCTTCTTTCCGCAACAAGAAGGAGGCAGACGAGCTCATCGGCAAGGCCATTCGCGCCATGGGACCCGAGGCTGTCTTGTCGGTATTGCCTCTAAACCTCATCAAGCCCGTCAAGGGCCAGAATGGCAGAGCTTGGATGTTCCCCATCCTCAGAGATTACACCAGCAACACCAACCTCAACCACTTCAAGAGCGAGATGGTCCCTCTCAGTGAAGTCATGTTCCAGAAGGTTCTCGACCACGGCGAGGCGGCCAAGACCATGGAGGTAAAGATTTACGAGACAGTTGTGCAGCAAATTTGGTCCATTCTCCCCGGCTATTGCGATCTGCCTCTGGACCTGGTTCAGGCTTTCGACCAGTCTTTTGCGGAGATCCTCGCAAACCTACTCTACAAGCAGGTCGACCTGCGACTGGACATCTGCCGGGCTCTCAGAACCATTGTAGAATCAAATCAGGCCATTTCCGACATTGATGATAAGGAGGAAGAAGACCTCCTTCTTCAAAGCAGAATCACCCGCTCTACCGCCCGAGAAAACCTCAAGCATCTGGGCGGATTCGCCGGCAACATGCTTGCTGTTCTGTTCAATGTCTACACCCAAACGCTGCCACAGAGCCGAGGCCCTATCCTTCAGACCGTCAATGCATTCCTAAGTATAGCGCCCGAGGCCGAGGTCATGGAGACTTTCAACCGTGTCAGCCAGATGCTGGCCACAGAGCTTCAAAATGCCCCTCAGCAGAGCGAGAAGGACAAGTCACAGCAGAAGCCCAAGGATCATATGCCATCCACCGCACAAACCTTGATGGATCTTGTCATCACAATGTCTACCTATCTCCCCAGGGAGAGCTTCGCCTCCCTGTTTGAGATTGCCTCAGTGGTAATTTATAAGCAGGATGAACCTCAGTTGCAAAAGAAGGCATATAAGCTCATTCCTCGCTTGGCCAGCTCTGAGATTGGCCAGGCAGCACTCCGGGAAAGGGGCCAGGAGCTCCAGAACCTCTTCATCTCCAGTACTGAGAAGGTTTCCGCCCCCGCCAGGCGCGAACGTCTCGCGGCCATCATCACCCTCCTTCCATATGTCAACGACGACTCCCTGCATTTCATCCCAGCCATCCTGAGCGAGGTCGTCATCTGCTGCAAGGAAAACAACGAGAGGGCCAGAGAAACAGCTTACGAGCTGCTGGTCCAGATGGGACACCGCATGATCTCCGCAAACGGTGCCCAGATCGACAACAGCAAGGTCCCGCATATGCCCGAGGGAGCCCCCGCAGGAACAGCAAACATCGAGGAGTACTTCACCATGGTCAGCGCCGGTCTGGCAGGGAGCACACCTCACATGATCTCCGCCTCCATCACAGCCATCAGCCGTCTCCTCTTCGAGTTCGGGTCGCAACTCAGTGAACAGACTCTATCCGATTTAGTACAGACAATGGACCTCTTCCTGACGTCCAACAACCGCGAAATCGTGAAGAGCTGCCTCGGCTTCGTCAAGGTGTGCGTCATCGGCCTCCCCGTCGAGCTCATGCTGCCCCGCCTCTCCACGCTCGTCCCCAACCTGATCGTCTGGAGCCACGAGCACAAGGGGCATTTCAAGGCCAAGGTCAAGCACATCCTCGAGAGGATGGTCCGCCGCTTCGGCTACGACAACATCCACAAGAACTGCCCCGAGGCGGACAAGAAGCTGATTGTCAACATCCGCAAGACCAAGGAGCGCACAAAGAGGAAGAAGGACGCTGCCAAGACCGCCAACGACGAGGATGAGAGCGGTGACGAAGACGAGGACCAGCCCAAGCGGCAGTTCGAGAATGAGTTCGACCAGGCCCTGTACAGCAGCGATTCCGAAGAGGAGGACGACTCGGAAGGGGAGGCAGCACCCGCCCGACAACAAGCAAAGAAGAGCCAAAAGGGCGGCAAGACGTACATCCTCGAGGACGACGACGAGCCCCTCGACCTCCTCGACAAGAAGGCCCTCGCCAACATCTCCTCCACCAAGCCCGTCAGGATGCGCAAGCCCACCAAGACCAAGGCCAGGTACGACCCGGACGGCAAGCTCATCCTCGGCAGGGACAGCGACGAAGAGAACGGCGACGCCATGGAGGTCGACCAGCCGGAGAACTCGGGCGTCGGGGCCTACGTCGCCGCCCTCAAGGGCAAGGACGTCGCCAAGCGCGGCCGAAACGGGAAGCTCAAGTTCTCCAACCGCAGGACAAAGGACGACGACGAGATGGAGGAGATGGACGACGGGGAAGCCGCCGCCATCAAGAACAAGATCAGCCCACGCGGCAACGGCAGGTTCCGAGGGGGCAGGGGAGGAGGAGGAGACGGCCCACGGGGGGGACGGAGCGGCCGCGGCGGGATCGCCGCCGGCAGACGAGGTTTGGGCGTCGACAAGAGGCATGGGCCTTCTGGGGCGGGTGTCGGCAAGGGAAAGAGGGGTGGTCGCAGGTGAGGCGTTTAAAAGGAATTTTCATAGAGCTGTTTTTTTGCTCTTCAAACATCTACCAATTTATAGGTAATACCCGTTCACTATATATATGATTCTATCATGACCTCTGTCAGCGCGAAATGCTCAATTTATCACTGCATTATTCACTTTGAGTCTTGACCTGGAAAACAAATGATTGGCGGCAAGTTGTGTTAAATTTGAAATACACTGAGATCTATTCGGTGAGACTCTCTAGATTAGAAACCCGCAAAACAGCCCTAAACTCCAAATCTCTGAAAAGCTTGAAAAAGTGACAATCCCAAGTCAGACCGTTGGTAGCCAATGGCCAGCAGACAACTCAACTATGAAGCAACCACGAAAAGCAGAACTCCCCACCGCGTATCCATCATGGTCTTCTATCAAACGCGTGTAATCAATACTCGTGTCAATGCCCTATGGCAACCGAAAAAAAAAAAAACGAGCCAAACACCTGATATGCTGGGTATCATTCATCCTCGTACCACCGTAACACATGTCAACTCTACCGTAAATCTCTCTATAAGCAATACTGAAAACATGAACATGAACATGAACATGAACATTCCCCTGAAAAACATCCGAATGTAGCTAGCTACATTCCGATGACATTAATGAGGCAACTCGACGTGTGCCTGTAAGGGTACAACATGGTCATCTAATCAAGAACAATAATATCATTCTCGTGGGCTGGTAGACGAGCTTGTTGATTGAGGTGAGGGTTACGGTCTCGAGCAGGTGCCGAAGGGGGGCGGTGAAAAGGATTCGGGCGGTATCGTTGAGGATCCCTCGATTCGTCTGCAGGAATCATGCCACCGTAATGTCTATATTGGATATCAGGTTAGGTAAAAGGGTGGTCATTTCCTCCAAGACTTTTGGGAGTGCCCAAGGGCCATACTGCGTGTAGTGATACGGGGGCTGCGCGATTCCCTCGCCAGCCCTTTGGACCCCGATTTCAGGCTCTATTCTGCGCTGGTAGTTTTGCGCAGGAGGTCCAGGAGCAGTGTCGTAGAGGTTTCGGTTGTGAGACCACTGCTGCTCGTTGTGGTCCACAGGCACAAGGCGCGAATAATGTTCTGGGGCAAGTGTGCGGAGCCCGTTTACTGGAATCGCTTCAACATCTCTAATTCGGCGATTATCTCTCATCGATCTTAGATCATTTTCCTGGGAAATTATTCTGTGGGCTGAGGCTTCCCTCCGTTGGGCCTGGCTAGGGTGGCTTGGCCAAATCTCGCCATTCACGGGAGCCGGACGATAAGGCTGGGGGTTGAGCGGCACTCTCTCGTAGAAACCACCACGGTCCTCCATAATGATGGGTTGGTGTTGTGAGCCGGGCTTACCAGCATCGACGAAAATTGTCCTGGTTGGAATGGCAGCCGAAGTACGAGCGCCATAAATACTAGCTTCATCGGGATACGTAGGAGGGCGTGGTCCTATTCTGACAAAGTCATTGGGTTGAGGGGAGTGAAAATCGCGAGTCGGTTCGCCATACCCAAGGTGACGTCGTGGCAAGGAGTCTATTGGCTGACGTTCACCTTGTACACCACGCTCAGTATAAACCGGAGCTGCCCTAGGGCTCGACTCCCATGGAGAAGAGACTCGAACCGGGCGTTGCTTCAAGCTGGTGCGAGAGGGAGAATGCTGTACTCTAGGTGGCAAGGTACGGACAAATGAAGGCTGCATGACTTCGGGGGATGCTGGTTCTATCGAGCGGACAAGCATATCTTGAAGACGTGGGCCAAGGGGGGACTCGATACGAGGAACGGTGGTAGAAGGTGGTAGCTCACGGGCAACGGGTGTGGCTCGACGTTCGCGGGGTGAGAGTGCAAGGGAAGCTGAGCGAGGGCGAGGTGGCATATCTAAAACGGAACCAGAACCAGAGCGTCGGTGGTGCTTCGGTACAAACCCATTTGGGTGAGGGACGGTACCCAGAGAACCAAGCAAGGGGCGTTTATCTTTCTTGTCCTTCTGAACGCCGCTGTACGGTGTACGCCTTTCGATGGTAGGCTTCTCGAAGTCATGAGGGGGGGGCGCATGTCCCTCGCGATTGCGTTGAATTGCTTCTTCCCAGGCTCGATACCGCTTGAATCCGCGCTGCTCTTTCCTACCTGTTGTCCTGGACTTAACCACACCGCCGGGTTCGGCTCCAGGTCTGGCAGAGACAGAGGATCCGTTCCTTTTGTGGCGGCTTTGTGGTAGGGTTTTGTTGACGGTCTGTAAGGGCACAGAGCCCGCAAGATCAAGCGTCTTTCCTGCACCAGTCATAGTTATCTCTTCAGCCGACGACTCCTCTGTCTGACCGTCATCGCCATCTTCGTCTTCGGAATCCGAGATGACAACAACCTCTCGCAAGATTTCGTCCAGCTGATCACGACCTGTTTCCTCATCGCCTCGCCACTTGACGAGAATGTCAAGACACAAACCTTCGACCACTTTTCGTGCATTAAGCCAACTTGTTTCTTTGAGTAGTTCATCGTATCTCGTGTGAGTATGGCGAATGTGTGCAAGTACTGCTAGTTGGACCCTCCGCGACAATGGGATGTCTGTGCACAAGCCTACTGGCTTCGGGTGTTGTTTCTTACTCGCCTGCGGGAAGGCATGGTTCGTCATCGTATACAGCAAACCTGCAAATGGATATACTTACCAGATTGAATGACTGCACAAGGATTGTTTGCCGATCAGTGTTGGGGATGCGGGGGAAGAAATCTAAGATTGAGGCGTTTGCCTGGGCTGTATACTCATCCTGGTTGTCTGGCAGTGGCATGGGTTTCCCGTCTAGATCAGAAACGGGCTGACTGGGGATGTGGGTTAAACCTGATCTTGCCTCTTCAACGATGGTTTCTCGAATGTGGTGACCTATCCGATGAACATGATGGGAGAGGTTGTTCGGGTCCTCATTATTGGTGGTCTACAGCGCAGGAGGTCAGTAAGTCGTGTGAAGTGATGAGATCCTGGGCGGAAATACGTGCCGAGACTATGAAAATCATGGCATCTTTCTCACGGGAAAGCTCCTTGCAAGCCGTTGTCAATTCGGGGTTGCCTGAGGGAACAAATTCGAACCCTGGTGGCGGGGTGGTTTTCGTGGTGACCTGATGAGGAGTGTGAGTTGGGTAACTAAGATGGCTCCATCACTATGACTACCTGGAACTCAAGCTTCTTCTTCTTGTCTTCGTTCTCCACGAGCTCAAAGTACGTATGATGCTTGCTCTTTGTCTTGGGAATGGTGGGCTTTGCAACGAAGCCTTGGGGCATGGGTGCCTTCGGATCCCACTGAGATCTCTGGGTACGCCTGTGCCTCTCCTTCGGCCCGCTTGAGGCGGCTGATTGCATATTCCGCTTTTCCCTCCCCATATTGATCAGCGACAAAGTATCATCATGGAAGAGATGGCAGATTGGTCCAAGTACTGCAGTATATCAAGGGAAGTCCAGATATCACAGGCTCCAGAAATCGCCAGGATCCAGGTTAAAATCACTCGCACGGCTGGATGTCATATACAGAAAGGCAGTCTCATCCCTGTCCGGATGGCCAGGGTCTGGATGGATGGCGTCGGGGGGGGATGTGAAGTGAGAAAAGACAACGCGAGCAAAACCAGTTGCTAGTCCTGGGAATGTAACCTTTTGGCTCCTTTGGGTTGAGAGACAGAGAGGCAAGCGTTCAAGCCGGTGAAAGGCAGTACCAGCTATTTGGCTTTTGCGGTGAGAGTATGTCTCCAAATAGGCGCTGACCGCCTGACTCAGGCAAATGTGCAGATGCAGATGTTGGGCGTCTACGGGGTCCAAGAGAAGTCGTTGGGCAGTGAAATCGCATCTACAGATATCGAGTGTTGTCAGGTGCTGCGCCGGAAGCGGATAAATAGATTTTCCGGGTGACTTGGTGTAACGTGTTGTCATCCTACCCTGTATAAAACCCACGCTGCATTGAATAAAGACATTTTCGGAACCTGATCAATCCTGCAAGTGTCCTGAGTAGAACCTTAAGGCACCAGCGCGTGACTTGTAAGGGGCCTATTGGTTCGTGGTTCTACTAACCTGGTCGTGTGATACTGCTTCGTTGTTCTTTCGGGCAAAGAGTGATCGAAATAGTCAATATTGATCACAAGTAGGTAGCATTACTTGCGCAGCCGAGTCCCAGTGTTACCTCAAAAGGGCAGCACCCTAACCAAAAGCGATACAATGCATTTTACATGGGCATCAACACCGAGGCAGCCCATTTACCGAGCTTAGCCCTGCGCAATAATCTCACGTTGACGATGACAGTTCTTAGATGGATATTTGTAGAAAGGCATATTTCACGTGGCGAATGTGCCTCCAGCCCTGCGAAAGCCCCGCGATGTTCGACAAAAGCCGAAGTGATCGGACGGCAGAGAGGCATTGCCTACCCTCTCCGGCACCGTGGTAGTGGGCGCAGAAAATACGAGAAGGAAAGTTTGTCTATTTTAGGGGATGCTACTGAACAAGCCACGGCTAGACTACGACTGAAGCAATCAAACGTGTCCACAAGGAGCATTAGCCCACCTCATGCCGTTGAATTGTCGAAGTAGACCCGAGACCGAGGCGAGAGGCGGCAGTGCGAGGTGGTTAGCCAATCGCCATGGTTGCTGTGACATTTGCTGCGCCACCTCTAGCGTGTGGCAGCAGAAATTGAGTTCTGGATTTCACGTGATACAGGCGACATCATCCATGCTGGAATGGGGTAACAATTTGCACACTGCCACAGCCACACTCCATGAGGGGACTCTAACCGGAAAGGAAATGAAGGGAAGAAGAAACAAGCAACACTATGCCGGGAGAGGACCGTTTTGGTCGATATATGACGACAAACCTGGAACGAAACCTGGTCATGCAAAAGACGTTATCGAGATTTGGGTTTATCTTGCGATTAAACTTCCCCTTTTCTCTGGTCCTGGGTGGGTTGAGTGGTGTTGTTGGCTGGCAGCTACGAGGATAGCAACAGAAGGATGAGAAGCAGGCCACATAATAATAAAACTGATGCAAAAAACTGTCGGCCAAACAAACTGATAATGGATGCAAAGAGTCTGACAGGATGAGTTCGAAAAAGGCCGGATATCCGAAGAATTCGTCAGCCTGGACACTGCAAAGCACCGGAAGGACTGTCAGTGCCCATTTACACTGCTCGAGTAAGGGGAGCGCAGCCGCATTAGAGGGGCAGTCGTCGTCATCCACAAATCTACCCGCAGTAACCCCCTAATCTTCATTAACCACAGTCTGAGGGTACTTGGAGGTCTCAGCGGCTGCTTGTACTGATTGCGACCAAACAGTGCTGAGACGGGTGCGATAAGCGATAAGGTACCTCTCAGACGTGGGCTGATACAAACGGTCGGAGGTAGCGGCGCACCGGGTCCCGGAGCTAAACCGTTTTCAAGCGCCAAACAAACTGTCACTCAGCGGAACGGTGGAAGGCTCCTGGCGACTCCTTGGTGGTGGTCAGCCCAGGAGCTGAGCACTCTCCCAGAGGCTTACGCGTCCTACTGTCACTGCCCCGCTCTTCCCTGCTCGGTTGGACCAGGATTAATCCGAATCGCCAAGGCACCCATCCCATTGAAAGTATCGGACATCCCTATCATCCGCTGCCTCAGGCACTTGCCTAACATCATTTCCTCTGTTTCACCATTCGCTCTGTATCTCTTTCCTTCATCATCACCACCATCATAAACCATCAACAACGCCCTTTCCGGATACATCGCTCCGTATCTATTCTTTTCTGGCATTTTCCATCGCCGCATCCAACCTGCTATCGCCACCGCCGTTACAATCCCGAACCCAATCTCTCGCATCGGCATCAACCGAGAAGCATTTGATCAACCTCGCCAATCCGATCTGGGTCAGGTTTACAGTGGTTCAATCTATTAGTTGGATAGAAGGAATCGAACGACAGAATGTCAGCCCCCGGGCAGAATAACGTCGATCTCGACGCTCTCCTCGACCTCACCGAATACGATGGTCTCAACAACACCTCACCTTCTCTCTCGCCCTCATCAAAACCTACATACGCCAGCCCTGTCACCGCTGCCGTCGCTACTCCAAGCATGTCAACAACCTCATCGCAGAACTTGAGTGGACCAAGTCACAACTATGACATGTACCGCCAGCAAACTGGATTTGTCCCAGGTGCCCTTGCCGACACCATGGCTGTCAACCAGACCAACAACACTGGCTACCAAGACTTCGGAAGCCTCGACTACCTTTCGAATTTGAGCCAAGAAGAAGATATTTTTGATTTCAATGCCACTCCTTCACAAGCCACCATGGGCGCCTCTGAGATGGATATGGACTTCAACTCTCCCCTGGACTCTCAGGATCTCTTCTCTACCATCAACCCAAGCAATATCGAACAGGCCAATGCCCTGTCTTCTCCAATGGGCTCGCAGGGTAGTGTTGGGCGCCTCTGGCCAGGTGCACACTCTCAGGCAGCCATGATGAAGGCTCAGGCCCAACAACAGAGACAACAAATGTTGCAGCAGCAGCAGCAGCAGCAACATCACCAGCGACAGAGCCCTCCCCAGCAGAAGCCTCGTGGAAAGGCTCCTCAGCCTACAGACCCCATCGTCGAGCAGAAGATTACCCAGCTCCTGAACTCCATGAGGGCCAAGCCTGCTGAGCCTGATTCGCAGAAGCAGCACACCATGGTCAATCTTCCCAAGTCCAAGAAGGACGAGGATGATATGGATGAAGATGAGAGACTCCTTGCTAGCGAGGAAGGCAAGAAGCTCAGTAGCAAGGAACGCCGCCAGCTTCGTAACAAGGTTTCCGCTCGTGCTTTCCGTTCCCGACGCAAGGGTAAGTTACCAAATCCACGCACCTCATATTCCACTATTCGTTACTAACATGGTTATAGAATACATCACTCAGCTCGAAGCCGAGATTGCAACCAAGGTCAACGAGAATGGAGATCTCCGTGCTCAGAACCGCGCCTTGATGGAGGAGAACAAGAGACTGTCGGATCTGACTCGCATGCTCCTCACATCGCCCTCATTCTCCAACTTCCTTGACCACCTCAGCGCCAACCCAACAGCGATCCCCTCTGCTCCCATCAAGATGGAACACCAGCAGCTTGAGCAGGCCAGCCAGCAGCAGCAGGAACATCTGCCCAAGGACGTGAACCCTCAAGGTTCGCAGCCGTCCCAGCAGCAAATCGGCATGGCAATGATTCCAGAGCACAACATGGACTTTTCCATGTTGAGCCTCGCCAACAACCCGTACAACTTCCAGCCGCAAGTCTTTGTTGTTGACACCCCTGAAGTCCCCACTCTTGACACATCTGTTCTGTCTGGTAAGGCCTCCAACTTTGTGGAGCCTCTTCTCGAGAGCGATGATGAGAAGGTGGAAATTCCCGCCATTGAGCGTCCTACCACCGACTCTGAGAAGACTGTCCCCACCGAGGTCGCCCCTGTGGATGAAGACTTTGAGAACGACCCCGAGTTTGCGCTCTACCACTCTGAGCCTGCCACTGCCTCGGAGCCTTCTGAGGAGCTTGATACCAACAGCCTGACCCATATCGATATCTTCGGCGGCATCGATTCCGAGAAGGTTCTTTCCCGGTACGAGCTCGTGGACGCATCTGAGGAGCAAACATCTGCTATCCTTGCCATGGCCAGGGTACAACGTATCAGTGATCACATTGAGAGCGTTGTATCGAGGTTAGAGCTCCTCACAATGGACCTATAAACATGGAATTAGTTTAAAGTCAGGGCTTTAAATCGTTGGGCGACATGGAGTTACGTGGCATTCACCTTCTCTTAACATCAGTGCATACTATCGTCAGCCACGCAGGCAGGGATCCAGGCGTTATTGGGAAGAAAGTTGTTTTATTCCCCCAAGATGGGATGGATTGGGTACCGGTTTCATTTATTGGTTAAGGTTAATAGGTAGCGATTGTACGGTACATGACTTTACGATGCAATTGTAGGGGTAGACAGCTGGAATTTAGATGCTCTTGAGCACCAATAACAATATATGAAATATCTACCATTGATGACACCAACTCGCTCACATTGTGATTGCGTGTAGAACTCACTCTGGTATTTGTAGGACGAATCATACAATGCGACCATGAGTGTAGAAATCATCGTAGCCGTATCATTCTTAGTTGATCGCAGTGGTTGGTCGCCAGGCATAGCTACAATTAACTGCCACAGCTCTGCTTTACATATGATCAACTTGTGGCTGCCAAGTCTCATTATGCAGCTACTGCTGACAACGAGGTTACCTCTGTACGGACCATATGTAGGGCAAATCTGTGACAAGTCCCAGCTCGACTTTGTGACGAAGCCAAATCGTCAAACGGTGATTCCAGGCCAAATTCAACCTACGACCAACCGAGGCAAGCATATGCCTATACATCGCCAATCCAGTGTGTATGATATGTGGTGAACCCCTTGGTAGGGATTGCAGAGGTAGACTTATTGACTAATTACCTAGTATGATTGCTTAACCATGAATATCTGGACATGGTGTTTGTCCTGGTGCGACTTGGTGATGGGATCAGTCACACTAGCAACCACCGTAGATCGTTGCATCCCCGTCACTAGTTGGCTTTCACCGGCCAAGCCTACCAATGTGATGATATTCACATAGAGCAAGCCACGCTGAAAGGTGCAGGATTAGAGGCAACAAGCTTTCTCCGTATCCTGGATCCGTTATTCCGTAATTACACCTGATGGAAGCTAACGCCTCGTTTTGCTCAGCGCTGGTGGTAGTTGGAAGAGGTGGTTGCCTGTCAACCGCCAGCGAATCGGGATCGATTTTGGATCATCTCTGCTGATGCCCATCTCGGCATAGAGAGATCGTACGATATAATCCCAGCCTGAGAAACCATGCACAAGGATGCATAATGTGTCATGTACGAGCCTCGACGGTGCGTGACCGGCTTCCTGGTGGTAGATTTCAACGGCGGATGAGCGAGCGGTGCAGACCGTTACGACTGCTGATCACAGTGACTCCCTCGTGGAAGGGTTGAGAGAGTCACTGGGATGAAGCAAGATGCTGGGCGGTTTGCCAGGCGTCCTTGACTTCCTCTCACTTCCCCTGTGCGTTAGTCTTGCTGCTTAGGTCGTCGTGCAGCCGACTTTTGTCGGCCAGTGATGATCAATACGTAGCATTGGCCTTGTGCAAATTGCTTGGTAGAGGAAAACCCACCCCAAAATTTGCTTCCACTTTGCCCTGTCTGTTAATTGGGTTAGTTCAGAGTAGACGGCTGGTTCCATGGAGAAGCCCTCTCCCTCCAAGTTAAAAGCTGATATTAGTGACGACAGGACAAAGGGGCGAGGAAGAAGCCAATACAAGTCATGTTGGCTCTTGGCCCTCTCATTCGCTCCCCGGCAATCGGGATCTTGCATGGGAGTCAATCTCGCCTTGGCCCAGCGAAGGAGAAATCTCCACTGATCGGCACTTGTTAGTTAAGGAGACTGCACGGGGATGCCCACTTGGTCCAGGACGACAACTCCAGCCCAAGAGCGTTGGCATTGCAAAATGAAGGCAGTCATCCTGGCCAGGATCGTCAGGGCTAAGGCATCGTGGAGCGGCGACGGCGAAATATCAAGACTATCCGGCTCACGCCTAACACTGACAATGGCCACATCTAATTGGATCTGGCTGGTCCAGCATTCCAAGCCAAGTCTTAGTCCAAGCAGGCCTTGGTTCGGCCAATACCGCCGCCTCCATCGTCTGTGGCGCATAGTATTGCCCGTAGTAGGGCCTTTGTGGCCTTGCAAATTCGGCATTAAAGGGATCGGCAGAACTACCGGGGAGACTGGGGGTGGGACAGCGGAACTATCCATCCTCATGGTGCGGCTGGGACCTGTTTCTGCCCCTGGTGCTAGGCTGGGTATGTTGTTTTGTTTACTTGCTTCGTGACGATGATTACTGATATTGAATCCAACATCCCGGATACGGCCCAATCACTTGGCTTTGCTGTTCTTTGTTGGTTTCATGCTAACATTATATGGACCTCTCCTGGTCCCCATCACAAAGACATGGGTTCCAGCATCGAGAGAACATTGCCCAATGCTGAAATTATGTACGGCTTGAGCGAGCTCTGCATATCGGTGGGGATTATGCGTTGGATTTAGCTTTTTGCAGTATCTTGCTTGGAGATGCATGCATCACAACACTGATGGATTGCATTGAGATGATGAAATGATGCTTTCTTAGGAGCACATTTATGCCGGTAAAACAAGATCGTTTGATTTGCCGTAGCTCCCATGGGTTGCCTTACTCAGGGAACCCACGCTTGTTTGCTTCCTCTGAACGTCAATCGTGATCTTGGGTCCAAGCTACCCAAGCGTGTGGTAGACACAAGAGGAGGGGAACAAATCGTAGTTCTTCATATAGCCAAGAAAGATGAAAAGAGGAGACTGCGGGTATATGGATAGAAAGAAGTTGGGCCAGTCCCTAACGCGGATGCTAACCATGACGAGTATGTAACTCCACTTGAGCAGTTGTGGACGAAACTGAATGAATATCACCATTTCGACCACTGGAGCTCTTCCGGCAGACTGGACTACGCCCAATACCAGGATTATGATGATGATCGTCCCGGATCTCCAAGCCTAAGTGTGCTCCTGACAAGGATAAGGTAGGCCAGTCAAGGATGGATGCCTTGGAGCCACTAACACGCCCAGCTCCAGAGTGACCTCATGCTTCATTTTGTGTTGATGGTTGGGATAGGGGACGAAGCAGGGAAATCTCCTCGAAGACGTCAGGACTCGTGCTCAAATCTCTTGGAACGAAAGATATAAAGTCGTCTTCTTACCCCTCTCTCTGGCATTCGAATCATCACTCCTCACCCTCTCTCATCAACCTCTAATAACCCTTAATACTCTCTAATACTTCTCACACATCCTCTCTTTCTTCAATAATAACCACCAAAAACACCTTCAAAATGAAGTTCTCCAGCATCTTCTCCATCGCCACTCTGGCTGTCTCTGCCCTGGCTGCTCCTTTCGTCGAGGCTGATACCAAGGCCATCCGCGCTTCGGCTCCTGCCTCTGTTGACGACGTTGTCACTCTTTTCTCGGGCTCTTCCCAGTCTATCACCAGCAAGACTACCCAGATTGGTATGTTGCTTCCCAATCATCCGTCTCCTACCATTCACCTGCTAACCTGCGAACCATAGACGTCATCCTTAAGAAGGTCCAGTCTGGCGAGACCCCCAAGTCTGATGCCAACCCCCAGGTCCTCGACCTCGTCCAGGGCATTCACCTCGACCTCTCCACCATTGTCAGCTCCCTGACCACCTCCGCTGGCATCCCCGTCCAGAAGGGCGACGTCGACCGCCTCCTTACCGTCGTCAGCGCCCTGCTCACCGTTGTCCTCGCCAACGTCCGCGCCATCGTCACCATCCTTGGTGTCCAGCCTGAGCTCGTCTCCATCCTCAAGTCCGTTGTCATCCTCGTCTCCAACATCGTCACTCTCCTCACCGGCCTCGTTGCTGCTCTCCTCCCCGGCCTTATCGCCGCCCTGAGCCCTCTTCTCGCCGGTCTGGGCAACGGTGTCCTGACCCCTATCCTGGCTCCCCTTGCCACTCTCCTCGCCGGCCTTGCTGGTCCCTAAATGTTCAACTTAGCGGTGCATTGCCAACCGTTCATTCCCTTTTCTAAAAGATTGGTCCTGTAGGTAGTTGACTAGATGGATCAGTCATTATCACATTCAGTAGCCATGCTGTCATATGTGGCATATTTTTATATTAATTGAAACTCATTTTCACGAACCTACTACTGCTTTTCCCTGTGTGATTACTGCATGAATTCTCGGTAATGAATACCTCGATGTAACTCCATATGACTAGCCGAGAGCCCTAGATGCTAAAGACAGTAACCAACTGCTTGAGTTTCTCTGATGGTTCTGTTCTCCCATGTTCTATCTGTTAAAGAATACCCACGCGACTGGTGTATTGCACTGCAAAGATATGAAGAGAAATGAGCAAAGGCTTGTCCGTTTTGAGCTTTCCACATGAGCTTGTCCAGCAATCTATTCAGACTCAGACAGCGCAATAATACTGAACTCTAGATTCCCCTCGGAAAACTTGAGGAAACGCTTCACACCCAACTCAAGCGCCTCGGCACTTAGCATGTCAGAGCCCTCTGGCAGACTGCCCCTGTCGATCGGTCCATCTGAGCCCCCCTCCAACTCCCAAAGGTGTCCATCCTTGCCTCTGACGAAAGCCAGGAAATGGTACCCGCATGGGTCTTCAGCCTGGGGTGCGGCACTGTCACCCGTCCTCGCGGCATTCATATGAGCTTTCTCCAGCTCCTCACTGTTATACAGGAGGTCAGCACGTGGACCAGGCTCCAGCGGGACGGCCGACTCGATTAGCCGGCCCAGGATCGAGTCCTTGTCGACAGACTGCCTGACATCACCGTTGCTCGCGGCATGCAGGAGGGCAATGAGGCCGCAGGCATGGCCGATTGTCTGCAGGTACCAGACGACGGGTTCCTGGTCTCCCGACTTATTGTAGGTCAGCTCGCTCGCAGTCTTCACTTCTTTGAGCCCGTCCTCCTTGCGAACTGCGTAGTACATGGGTGCCGGAGTGATGAAGATCAAGGCCTGGGCGGGGCGAGGCACCATGGCGAGGAGGTCTGGGTCATCGAGGCTGTAGACATCAAAGAAGCGTAGCTTGGGCGAGAGCCCCAATTCGTGCACGAGCGATGTGAAGACTTCAGGATTGT